GAGGAGAAAGCGGGTTGCCAAGTGAACTCGCGCCGAGATGCCCCGGGATGCGGAGCCCGAGGTGCCGGACTATCCGCCAGAAGATCTGCCTAGGGAGCTCGAGATGGTCCCTCCAATGCAGGAGCCGGCAGGGGGCCCTTATGCTGAGACTACTTACTCCGGGTCCGCTCATACGCGAGCTGGGCCTTCGGGCTTGGGGGCTCCGGGGGATTCCAGGAGTGTGTTGTCGCCAACCCATGCTCTACAAAAGAGTAAGGAGGCTATTTTCCCCGAGGAGGTTGCAGCGTAGACTAATCTCCCTCTACATCAAGTGGCCTGTCGTGCCGTTACCCATGCCATGGTGGTAAGTGTTCTCCCTTTTTTAGGGCTCTTTGGCTTTCGTTTTGTTGGTTCTTTTGATAACTCGGTTCCTTTTGGTAGGTGAATTCTTTTATTCACGCCTTGGCGGCTCAGGTGGAGAGGAGCTCGAGGCAGGCACAAGCTGCTGAAGAGGCTCGTCGCGCTGCCGAGGAGGCTGCTCGAGTTTCCCGGATTAGGCAGGCGAGGTCTCAGAGAGATGCCAAGGCCATGGGAGTGGTGGTGAAACACGTGGCGGACTTGAGGCTGGATCTGCAGCATCAGGTCAAGTACCTTCAGGAGGACATCAAGGAGAGGACGCAGATCTTTTCTCAAGGTATCGAAAATGCCAAGAAGAAGGCTGTCGATGAGTACATTGCTTCGCCGGGCTTTGATGATCTGATGGTGGATTCATACAAGAGGGGTTTTAAACTAAGCCGGTGGATGATCCGGAATACGKACCCCGAGCTCGATATTAGCGCCATATCCACTTYGYGCATAACTCAGGAGATGGCCAATGCTGCTGACGGTGAGCCAGACTCCGAGGGCGAGGCGGGGCCTTCGGGTATTGTTGAAGTGCCTTCTGATAATGAAGAAATAGCTCCGGGCTTGTAAATATTTTTTTTAATGTACTACCTTACTTTTGAAATGGAATGACTTTTGGTTAAGTGTTGGTTGTTCTTTCTCCCGAACGGAGCATATTTTGCCGAACTAATCAAACGTCCGATCTGTTTTCTGTCCGGGCTACTGCACTCGCGCGGCCTGTTTTGGTTGTGATTTTATCCACTTTGCTTGGTTGTCTATAGGTAGTATCGCCTTAGGTTGACGATGTTCCATGCTCGGGGTACCTGCTTACCCTCTAAGGTTTTGAGCTCGTATGCCCCCCCAAGTGCTTTCTTTACTCTGTAGGGTCCTTCCCAATTTGGTCTGAGTTTTCCCACGCCGGGTTCGGGAACCATGATCTTAC